GGTACAGGGTCTGCCTCCCCCACACCCCCGGTACAGGGTCTGCCTCCCCTCACACCCCCAGATACAGGGTCTGCCTCCCCCCACACCCCCAGATACAGGGCGGGTGTGGCAGGCCAGCTGGACAGGTTCAGTGTCACTGGACTCCACAAAAGGCTGCGTTAAGCCCACTGTGCCAGCCAACCGTTAGGGATGCCAGCGTGCCCCACCTGGACACTCCAGGCTGCACACAGTGCTGCCCAGCAGGCCGCCTGCTGGTGAGTTTCCTGGTAGCCATGGCTCAGGTCACACCCCCACACACACCCGCAGGCCACTCTGGGGAAAGGGCCTGAATTGGAGGCAGATGGCTTTGAAGATTTGTGGCAGTTTTTGCCAGAACAAAAGGATCTTACAGAGACTAAAGTCAGCTCTGGACCTTGTCAGCACCCTCCTCCCCGCCGCGGGGTAACCGCCACCCAGACCCCGAGGTTCACGTCTGGACAAGTCCCCGAGGCCACGTCCCTCCACAGCAGCACAGCGTAGTGCAAAACGATAAAGTTTTATTTGTTCACAGTTAAACACAAGCAACTGCCTTGACGTCTGAGAACATCCTAAGGAGGACAGCAAACCCTTTGGATTCCAGTCCCACTCGCTGCCTTGTTCCAGCTCCTGCAGTTCACGTGGACGGCGTCAGATGCGGACTGTGTGACATGCTTTTAATCGAGGCGGGAAGGTTTAACCCTTTTGACAAGAGATGACTTTTAAAATTTAACTAAAAGCAGTCAGTTTAAAAAACCCACTTGCAGTGACGAGACCCTTCCTCCTCCCTGGAGGCCGGCCGCACGCGCGGGATCAGGACTGAGCTACAGAACTAGGTCTGGCCGGCCAGTCTGCTCCTCCGTAGGTGTCTGCGGTCCATGGCGTCTCAGAAGCGATCCCTGGGCCTTCCTAGAGCCACGTGCCCGGCTGCCTCCTGAGCCAGAGCGCCCACTGCAGACTCTCAGGGCGTCCCTGGGAGACCCTCCCAACGGGCCAGCTGCCCCTGGGCCAGAGCAGGGACATTTTTGTGGCCCTGGGAGAGGAGGGGAGCAGAGGGGAGCAAGGGGAGGGAGAGGAGGGGAAGGGGAGAACGCTCCTCTGCCTTCATCAACTCCTTTCAAGGCTGAAGCAGTTGTGGGCGCAGGTACTCGACTGTCCCAGGCAGGTGTCCCGTGTCCCTCCAGCCACTCTCTCTCGGGCGAGCGGTAAGGGCTGCAGATGGCATGGAAAGGACGGAAACATGCTCTCCCTGGCACATCCGAGTCACGGTGGAGACAGGAGCCACCTGGGGACAAGGGTCACAGCAGCAGCTGGGGCCAGGCCCGGACCTCAGTTCCTTCACGCTGGAGAAAAGCTTAATGGAGGGCAATC